CCAGGTGGTTTTTTAGGAAGTGCCTGGTGCTGGGCACGGATGGCTCCTGCTCCAGGTGGTTTTTTAGGAAGTGCCTGGTGCTGGGCACGGATGGCTCCTGCTCCAGGTGGTTTTTTAGGAAGTGCCTGGTGCTGGGCACGGACGGCTCCCGCTCCAGGCGGCTCTGGAGGCCCGAGGGGGGTCTCCACCCCGGCGTGCCCGCCGCTCCCGCGGGCTGGCTGGCGGGCTGTCCTTACCCCAGGCGCTCCTTGCTCTCCTCGGGGGTGAGCTGGTCGAAGCTCTTGGCCTCCTCGGCTCCCAGGAAGGCGTCGTGGTCGTAGTCGAAGCTCTGGGCGTCGTCGTGCTCGCGGGCGCTGAGCGGAGCCTCCCGCACCACCCGCTCCTTGCGCTCCGTCGGCTTCCCGGAGCCGCACAGCGCCCACGCCACCAGGCACAGCAAGAGCCGCGGGAACAGCATCCTTCCTGCGCCTGCGGACACGGACGGGTGGGCACGGGAAGGGGGGCCGGGCCACCGGGACGGGCACGGAGCGGAGCTGGGACGGGCGGGGACGGGAGTAGGGCGGGTTGTTGGGGGAAAACGGGGAGTAGGGCAGGTTATCAGGGCAAAAACAGGGATTAGGGTCTGGGAAAAATGGGGTTAGAACAGGTTGTCTGGGAAAAACCGGGATTAGCACTGGTTGCCTGGGAAAAAATGGGGAATTAGGGCAGGTTATTAGGGAAAAATGGGGAATTAGGGCAGGTTACTGGGGAAAAACCAGATTAATTAACACAGATCATGGGGCCAAAAATGAGGAATTAATCCAGACAATAAAGTGATAAATACAGATTGTCTGGGCAAAGATGATGAACTAATGCAGATTGGCTGGGAAAATGGGGAATTAGTGCAGGTAATCTGGGAAAATGGGGAATTAGTGCACATTATCTGGGCACAAATGACTGATTAATGCAGATTGTCTGGGAAAATGGTTTAATTCCTGCAGATTCTCAGGGCAAATTGATTATTTGATCCAGATTATCAGGGCACAGTAATGAACTGATACGGGTTATCCAGGCAAAAGTGATTCCCTGGCATGGAATATCAGGGCACAGCAGTTAATTAACGTACATTATCAAGGCACAGGGACTAATTAATGTGGATTATAAAGGCGCAGGGATTCATTAATATGGATTATCAGGACACAGGGATTAATTAATGTGGATTATCAGGACACAGTGACCTTTGAGCCCCTGGCACGTGCAGACACCCTGGAGCCACTCCCACTCCCAACCCCATCCCAGAGCCCCCTGGAGCAACAGCTGGGGCTGGGGGGGATCCAGGGGTGGAGAAGGGGATCCCAGTGGGAGGGAAGGGGATCCCAGTGGGAGGGAAGGGGATCCCAGTGGGAGGGAAGGGGATCCCAGTGGG